ACATGACGCCTGGATAACCAAGGCACTATATGACATAAAATAAGTACACTTAATATGTTTTTTAAAAAAGACATTGATATTAGAACAGGAAAAATAAAAATGAGCAGGCAAATTTTAAAATAGAACTTCTAAAATAGAAAAACATAATTAAAATTAGTAACTCAAAATAAACTGCAAATTAAATACCACTGACGAATTTATTTGGAAGACAGAGCTAAAGAGATTACCCAGACCACAACCCAAAGATACTAATATATGGAAAATACATTGAGTCATTTATAGTAAAATGAGAAGAATTCACATGTCATGTTTTTTACATGTCATGTAAAAAAAAAAAATACAATAAACAAGACTCCAAAAAGGCATAATAGCTAAAAATTTTCCAGAATGGACAAAAAGACACCAATCTTTAGATTCAGGAATGTCAGAGTCCCAAGCAGGATAAATAAAAATAAATAAGAATTAATTCTAATAAATGATGTGCTAGGTGTGGTACAGCAAATACAAAGTGACAATGTACAGGCCCAAGAAAGAAAAGACCACATAAATAAAAAAGAATGACTGCTAAGCAGACAGCAGACTTCTCATCAGATGTGGAAGTCAACAGACAGTGGAATAAAATTTTCAAATGCTGAAAGAAAATAACTCTCCACTTTAACTGGGTATCTTTTGAAATTATTACTCACATATAGAGAAGTAATGATATTTTCAAACAAATGTAGTGTGTTTTTAGTGTGTCAACTTTGCTTGACTATAATACATCTTCCATAATTTCCTTTCTTACATGTTTGCCCAAGTTCCCTGGAAAACTCTACCACATATATTTCAGGAGTCAGGCTCACAGGTCGTATTTTTGTGAATCCTTTTCAACTGGTTCCTTAGTCCTAGGAAGTCAGGCACACTGTCCTCTATCCTAAACACCTATTATATACCTTTACTACACATCACATACCACTATTTAATATGACTGTTTATTAGTTTATCTCCACCACTGAGATGGAAGTATTTAAGAACTGGAATTTGACTTACACATTTTTGTATCTCCTATATCTAATACAGGGACTTCCAAAACATTTGATGAAGGCACCACAAGGGAGAATGCGACAGATTATAAAATAGGATAACAGGAAGGAGAAAATATTCAGAGTTATATGTTCAAGTGCACAAAGGCAGAAATAAATATTGAGCTATGGAAAAGCAATATAAATAGTAGCTTTGGTCAACAACAGATCACTCTATGATTAATAAGAAAAATAAGAAAGCAAAATAAAGCCATTATGTAGAGTTCATACAACCTGTTAATGTATTATAGCCAAAGGGGAACAACTATTAAAAACTTTAATATTCTTAGGTTATATTCTAAAAGCCACACTAAAAAAGATTATTCTAAAGTCGTATAAAGAAAAAATTAAATTAAATGCTGGAGATTTCTGGAAAAGGGTGCGATAATTTTAGTACCCAAACTATAGACCAAATACAGTAAAAAATTAAAGATATTTGTAATTTTTAAAAATCCAATATTCCTTTTAATGTGTAAGGATAAAGAAAAACTAAAAAAGGACTCATATGTTTTGGGAATAAGATACACAAGACTTTTAAAACAGAAGAGAAAATACATATTGAGTATTTTTTTCACTCAATAGTGAAAGATAAGAACATAATGAATATTTAAGATGAGGAAAGACTATCTTTGGTTAAGGGAAAATTTAGAGTTTAATATTTCAACACTATAAGCTCACTATCTTAATATTATTACCCTTTTAAAATACACACATAATTCAAAATATTTTAATGTGAAAAATTTTAACTCAAAATATTCAATACACAAAACAAAAATAATTTCCCTTAGATATACACAAAAGCCAGCAACAATATCACAAGTAGTCTTAAAGTGATAACTAGAGTGTGATATTCTTCTATAAATGAAAGTTATATTGACATTCAGTTAAGATACACAGATGGGGGAAAAAAAGAAAAAAGGAAATCAGACACTGAAATTTAATCAACTCAGCATCTCATATAGAAGAATTTAGAATCAAAATGACTATTCTAGGAAAATACAAATATCTAAATCATCTGTCTTTATTTAACAGATTTGGATCTGAGAATTTTATTTCACATTAGTATAGAGCCTTGAAAAATGCATGATGTGCAAATATTCTTAAATATCAATAATCGTAACTTTTTCTAAAGAATTACACTTTTTTCCATATTGAAAGCTATTTTCACATGAGTTTGAAAACTCTGCATAGAGCAAAATTAGAAAAAAAAAACTTAAAAGGTATAATTAACGATCCTAAACTCCAAATATTTTATGTAATAATTTAATGTTCTACTGCTCTCCAAACAAAAATTAACAAAAATCTTTTAAACAAAAATCTGTTGCCAACATCTACAAAATAACAGATCCTACTAACTTTATATCAAATTAACACAAGTGTTTTAGGGAAGACAAAAGCATTATTTTAATATTGATCATTATTATCTATAAAATATATTAAAACTTAATCCTAAGAAAATATAAATCCCAAGATAAATAGGCTACTTTTCATTTTTAAAGTGCTCTAAATGAAAGCACACTATTACTACACATTTCCATGCTATAAACAATGTAATAATATAGCTAATGTAGAGTGAAGAAATAATTTCAAAACAAAAAAACTAAAGAAAAGCTAGTTTTAAATTAAACACTATATTTTAAAAGACAGCAACCTAATTTTAGTCATAGCTTCAGCTACTTTATTGGAATACAAATAGGAAAAAAATTCAATTAGGAAATAACTAAAATATAGACTTGTAAAGACATCATTCTCTACAATATTTAATAATTTAAATGCTATATTTCCCTGATATTAAAGACTTTGAGCATTTTTTCATGTTTATTGGCCATTAATAATATCTTCTTTTAAAAAGGTTCTGTTCATGTCTTTTGCCCACTTTTTTATGGTGTGTGTTTTTTCTTGCTGATTTGAGTTCTTCATTGATTCTGGTTATTAGCTCTTTATCAGACATATAGCATGCAAATAATTTTTCCCATTCTGTAAGTTGTCTGTTCATTCTATTGATTGTGTCCTTGGATGTACAGAGTCTTGTCTTATCAGATTGTTTTTTTGTTTTTGGATTGCCTTTGGATTTCTCTCTTTTCTGGCTACTTCTCAAGGTTTAACCTTTTCTAATCTAAGTCATGCCTGAGGTTATTTCTATGCATATCGTGTTATTTTATGAGGGAGGGTTCTGTTTCGTCTTCTATTCAGCTTTATTTCCGGCCATTTATGAATGGGCTCTTTTCCCGTGTATGTTTTGTCTGTTTGTTAGATCAGAGCAATTGATGATGGTTTTATGCCTGGTCTATGTCTTTTTTTCTGACTGTTTGTTACTTTTGGTTACTATCTTGTCGTTAGTTTGAGTCTGATAGATTACATAACATGGTTTAATGATACTAACAGCCATGAAAACTGTTGACAATATTTTTTTAAAACTGGTGGACAGGTCATTCTTCTAAGAATATACACAGATGGACAAACAATGTACTCATATTAATTGAAACTATTGATCTCATGTGATATGGCAGTCCTAAGACCGGTGTGGGAGCGGAAGAGAGTGGGTAAATTTACTACGGTAACACTCTTGGTGATGAGTACTTATAACTTTAACTTAAACTGCAACAAAAATGTATCATCATTTGACCTTCATATATTGAAGTAATATTAATTCAATGAATTTTCTGTTTGTATGTTTTGTCTAGAATGAAGTTAGAAGATTCTGCAACTGAAACATGGTCCTTCTGATCAATGGTATCAAGTTTTGATATTTTTTGGCTCGTTATTTTGTTTATAAAGTTATTTATTCCTTGCACTTCGTACCAAACCAGACGTCCAATGATACAACGCATGAAATTTTCTGTTGTATAAGTTACATGGTATAAATGGATTAAATGTTTATATGGATTATTTCCAGAGACTATCTTCATTATGTAGAAAATATCTTAGATATGTCGGATGAAGGGAATGACACAAAAGCATTCAGTTTAAGTTTTTACAAGGTAGAGTAAGTTCTGTTTATACCCCTACTTTTTACTGTTCATAAAAACATACATGAAGTTTCCAAGTATTGAGTACACTTCCTTCAGATTAAATTAATCACAGAGATGCATAATAAACGCTTTCCGTAATTTTCTACATCAACAAGCAATTGAATCAGTTTGTACTAATGTCTATTGTTAAAGTTTTCTAAGTTTCATTTCTTTAATCATCTATTACAGTTCTTCAGAGTTATTTGTGTTATGCTTACTCTTAAGTACATTTCTATAATTTTACGGTTCTATCTTTGCCAAAACAATACTGTAAACTTGTTCAATTAATGTTTACTTGGAAAATAAATTTCATTCAAAAAGTAACATTAAACTGACAAATTTGCTTTTCCCCTTCCCCTAGACAGTAGTGTTACTGAATGTCACAAATATATCCTCAACTATAACCAAAAATATAAAACCAAACTACAAATAGGTATTAACTATAAAATAAAATGAAAGAAAAATATCATGAGCTAAAAATAGGGAAGGATGGGATTAAGTCTGACCCCTCTTCTGTATCCTTTTAATACATGTCACTCCTACACGCATCTACTATTTTCCAGGGAAATGGTTATGGAGCATTAATTCCATATATACTAGCCATAGTTGCAATTATAATTTCACAAAGCAACAAGTGAAACAAATGCTATAGTCAGGAAAGACACCTGAAAAATAGAAGGTAATGGTAAAATAATTATCTAATGCCTTTGAAACCACAGACAAAGGAGAAGAGTTCATTAAAATATTTTCAAGATACTTCAGGTTGGTGAACCACATTTACCAAGTAATCTTTCTGAAATCAAAGGATCACGTTCTAGGTCACAGAAAATTTCTACAGCATTCTAACACTGTCTCCTGTGGAAATAATCTGAACAATCCAGATTAGTTTAACATGCTTTAAAACGGGAAGCTGTAGTCCTATGCTTACCACTTTTATTCTAGATATGCAGCATCTAAACCAAGACAGTAATTACTGGGTATCCTATGTATCATCTGTTGTCAAACTGATGTATAAGCCATCGGAGCTTTCATCTCCCTCTACTGAAAAGCAAACAAAAAATAATGAGTATATGCTAATATACTTTTTAAAGCATTTTTGTTCTCACTAGGAGTTACTTGAGACTTATTTTTTAAATTTCTATTAGCAGGATTTTCCACTTAATTTCTAAAAGTCGCAATATAAAAGGTAAAGAAAGAACAAAATTTGGCATAAACAAGTTATACATGTATGTATGATTATATGCAACCAAAAACATCTTTTCTTAGTCATTTAGCAATATATATCCACAATGGAAAAAATATATGTAACCTAATGTGTTCTTTATTTGGAACTATAATAGTCTCATAAATCCTATTTTCAGAATAGAAATTTAGTCATGAATGTAACCATTACACTAAATGTGTATCTCACCCTAAATATTTCGATTTCTTTCTTGCATAACAGCATCTGAAATTGTTTTAACTATTTCACAAAACTACTTCCAAAGCAAATATAGATTTATTAGGATAATTACTAATATTTCTAAGAGCAAGCATATATTATGTACCAGGCACTGCTGAAAATGCTTTACATGTCTTAACTTATTTAATATTCACAACCACCCAATGGGGCAGCTATTATTATTATTTCCATTTTACACATGAAGAAACTGAGGCACAGAGAAACTAAATACCTTACCCAAGGTTTTACAATTAAAAAGGGATGAGGCAAGTATTTCAAACTCAGGGAGTCAGTCCTCAATGCCCATAGTTTTAATTACCATCCAATGCAAGTGATTCATAATCTGTATCACTCATTAGTGTTATATTCTCAAGATGCAGTCTGACATTTCACATGACTGACAGCCATTCCCCTTTGTATGTCTAGCTCTTACATCAAATTTAAAATGTAAAAAAAACTTTTCTCTAAAATTTAGTTGCCATCCCAGATTTCTTCCAAAGATGTCTTCTGGTTAAATAAACAACTATAGGAGGGTAGGCACATATTACCATCAAGGTCTGCTTCATTATCAAAGAGTGATCAGACATTTTTGTACTTTTTTTAAAAAAGGGCTGTTACTTTCTCTAATTCTCATAATGAGCTATACAAGGACTTCCAAGCAAGAGCAAGCATGCAAGCAAACAATGAAAAAAACATGAAAAAAATCATGGAAAAAGACTAGCAATTTTTGTTCTGGAGAAAATAGTCTGCATATAAAAACAATTACTTTGAATATTTAAATACTGATATGTTAAAGTAGCCTGAAACTATGGGGAAAAAAGCCAATTTTCTAAGTATAAAGGGCAGCAACTTCTATAATTAGAACAATACCTGAGGACAAGATAAAATAAATGCATTATATGTCTAGGCCATTTCTAACATGCTATTTTTACTATTATATTTACTTTAGGATGAGCTCAGAATCACTATGACTCATTCTTAGTCTGAACTCCAAAAACAAAAGAGATAGAGTCTAAGAGTTTTCAAAGTCCAAAATTATTTTCTACCACAAAATAATCCAGGAAATTATCCACAATACTCTCTAGTGACTCTCAACCTTAACTGTACATTAGCATCACCTGGAGATCTTTAAAATCTCAGTGGTGAGGCCACAGCCCCCAACGAATTAAAAAAAAAAATGTCTTTTAAGAGAGACATTAACATTGTATTGTTAATTCCAATGTAAAACCAAGGTTGAGAAAGAAGCACTGCATTAAAGCCCCTTTTCTACACTTTTTTTTTTTTTTAACAGACAAGACAGTTTCAAATACTAATGTCTTCAACCAAGAGGAACTTACTAGAATCACTTTGCCCTAGACTAAGAACACCTCCAGGTAATAACACAAGAGAAACAAAGGTAGTATGAGCTTGGATACTGAAAGCAATAAAACCAGTTTTTTGTATGGTTTTCTTGTTTTGTTTTAAAGCTATGTTCATAGCAAATATATAAATTTATTCTTAATCCATGAAATCATGATTTTTGTATTTGCCACAAAATTATAATTTCTTCTTTAAATAGGACTTCAATTTTTTTGAGGGGGGGGGGAGAATATAATTTAGTGTTTGGTTTTCTAACTACTTTTACAATAGCTACTTTCACTTTAACTCACTTAGAGATTCACTATGTGCTAGGAGTGCTAGGAGATAAAAGGAGGGGCCCAAGGTGGGTTCTGAAAGAATCTGGGAAAAAAATAAAGAAGGTAGACATATACATAGGTCAAGGAACAACAAAAGATATTATACAAGGACCAAAATGTATGGTTCGATGGCCAAGAGTTTATAGAAAACTCTTCCTCAAGTAATCTAACTACTTTTTAAAAGGCAGTATAAATAACCAATAAAAGCAGTCAGAGACATCTGAGTTTAACATCAGCCTACTTCACAAATTTGTGGTAATAAACATGAAATAAGGTAATAAACAGAAAACTACTAACACAGTGCCTAGAACTTACTAAGCATTCAAAATATGGCAGCTGCTTCTATCACTACTACAACCACTGCTACCATAATGAAAGATGCAAAAATTAGAAAAGGGGGCCAATTTTATAGCATTAATTCACTATAAAATATCTAAATATGAATTCAAATAGCAATATTGAATACCATACCATCTACCATAATGAAAGATGCAAAAATTAGAAAAGGGGGCCAATTTTATAGCATTAATTCACTATAAAATATCTAAATATGAATTCAAATAGCTAACATTACATCAATAAAAACAATACACCTCACTCTCTGAAAGATGGTAACCTGTTATGATGTTAGTTATAATACAGGATATAGAATAATATAAATTTTAAAGTCAGAATATTCATTAGAGAACATTCTTTATAGCCTTAAAAAATCCTCAGTAATTAATCCATGCAGAAAATAAATATGTGCATAAGCATAATCAGACACTATAGTAAGATATTAAAATTTTAACATTTTAGAATCAGTTTGATGCCTAAAAGGTTTATGAAAAAAATGAGTCAGTTCATTTTATAAATTTAGCTGATTTAGAAACATCCTAGAGGCACACTTAAAAAAACCTAAAGAGATATGATATTCATATATGAAACGAAACTATAATAGAAAACTGATCCTTCAAAATGAGCTCCAGAAGCTCACTAATAATAGCAAGATTTATTAACCTGAGAACTACAGACCTTTAGGAGTTTTATGAAACCCTTGAAAATCATTTGTAAAACGTCATTCATGTGAGCATGCATGTGTGGTTAAAATCTACTTTCACTGCATTCTACCATTTAAAGGTAGAGAAAGTAAAGATAGGGAAGCATCATTTTACAATCCAAGTGATCACTCCCAGTTCATCCATTTATTCAGATTTTCTAGTAAGTTTTCTTGCAATATAGTATTTTCAATGTGGATAACTTTAGTACATGGAAAACATTTAAAGAATTAAAAATAGAATTACAGAAAATTATATTTTTTAAAAATAGCTACTTACCTTTAAAGTGTTCTTCTGATTTAATTTTTTCATTAACATGCAACTCTTTTACTGTTATGCTCAAGTCCACTGTGTTATGTTCCTGTATTCCATCAGTTGGTATTTTTTCAGAAACGTTTTCAACACAATTGATGTTATTCTTCAAATCATCATTCAGTTCCCAAAATGAAGCTGCTGCACATGTATCAAATGTAATGATACCTTGTAGATTATGTTTTCCACCACCAACTTTCTTTCTCAGTGTTAAATTTCTAGAAGGTAATCTTTTACTGATACGGCTTTTCCTTAAGAGGTTCTTATAGACATTTTTCCTCTTTATAGACTTCTGTATTTTTGGCTTCTGTTTCTCAGTGCATGTACAATTTATATTTTCTTTTTTGTAGCAATTTTGATCTGACAAAGGGCAAATAGGGTTACTCTTTAATTTATATTGGGTTTTAGTAGATCCAGTAGCAGTAACTGCATCAAGATGAGCTGAATTTTTAGAATACACTGCATGACCAGATGCAACTAACATATCCGCCAAATTGTTTTTCTCATGAATGACATCTACTTTCAGTTTTGTTTCAAAATTACATTCCCTAAACAGAAAAACTAAACCTGGTTTACATAGGAAATCTTGAAAAAAGCTTTTGGCTTCTTCACTCCAATGTTTCCCTTTAGCAGGTAAGATACCATGTAAGATACAAGGATAAATCAGCCTTGGCAAATTCAAAAGTTCCTCAGGAACAACTTTGAGATGTATTATATTTGAATAAGGTATATAAAAAGAAAATCCATGGTCAATCAACACAAGAAGTAAAGACTGATCAGAGACTTCAGAAATTTCCACTCTATTCCACTGGTCTTCCAATTCATATTTGAACAAACAACTAGACCCAGGAATTATGAGTTCTTGAGGCAATGTTTCTAAGGTTTCCGGAAGATCAGAAAGCAACATAAAGAGATACTTCATTGTGTCAAAGAAATCTTCTAACTGAACACAGAAGTCTGATGGATCAGAAACAGCAGTGGCAATACCAGAATACTGCCTACCATTTTGGAGTTCTGCCCAAGTGAATGATCTTATTGCACAGGATGACACAGGAGTCTTAGATTCCATGTTGAAAGCAATTCCTGATGATCTAAGTTTGTTTTCTTCAACCAGAACTGCATTCAAATTTAAATATTCTAAAAGTAACAGGTTATTTACCAAAATTTCTACTTCCCAAGCAGAGTCTAAATACTTCAGGAAAAGGATGTTTATTTCCAAATGAGTGAATAAACACACAATGGTCTTAAATGACATGTTCCTAGAATTTTCAAACCAAATCCATTTACAAGGCACAGCTTGTCTTGGAGTATTTCTGATTTCATTACTAAGCACCTTGATATTACATAAAGGCACTATTTCATATCTACCACGATCCACTAAAAAAACAAGCACTTTCTCATCAATATACTTTTCTTCTACTTTTGATCGATACCATTTCAAAGTTTTCTTAGATTTTGCCAGGCATTCTAAACCTTTTTCAATATTTTCCACTGATAAAAGAGAACAGTTTTTTTCTTCTTTGGTAATTAATACCGTTAAATCTGATAATATTTTTTTATTTTTGGATAACTTGACATAAAATTTTCCACTCTGGGAAACATGAAGTATTTCAGCTTTTTCAAGTTGTCCAGGTTTTAACTTTTCAAATGACATTTTCACCAGCTGTTGGTAGGACTGTTGAAGGACCATAGACCCTTCACATTCACTCGATCTTCCTCTCTTTATTTCATTATTATCACCAGGGCTAACCTTTTGAGAGACAACCTGAGGTATCTGCAATGCTATCTTCTCTGGTTTTGAACACGCTTTCCATTTCAGTAGTTCACTAATGACATATTTTTCATCACAGATTATATTTACTTCCCATTTCTGCTCATGTTTTTTCAAAAATTCACAAGAAACTGTTTTATTACTTACTCTTGAAGCAAAATAATCCACCATTTTGCTGTCCCATATTTCATCAGGCTCATTCAATTTTACCCCACTAAGAAAAGAATGGATTCCTAGCTGAGGAATAGCTAAAAATTCCCTGTTGAGTTCATAAATTTTAGATGTGTTTACTATTGCAGTGTTACCATAGTCAATAAATTCCACTTCAAAAGAATTTTCTGGCAAAATCTTCTTAATAACTGCTCTGTAAATGGCACTGTCACCAGCATATTCTGCAACCACAAGATCTCCAACCAGAGGTTTAACTGATTTTCTCTCTTTCGCTCTATTTCCTCTTCTTTCATTTAGAGCATCTGCAAGTCTGATGATTACATTTTCATTCTCAGCAAGCTGAATATGGAAACTTGCTGGATTACTGATATTAGAAACATACCCTTTAATTTTGGCATTCAAGTAAATTTTGGGTTGAGGAAGGTCTTTGATCTGTGGTCTATTAAGGTTACATGGGTTTTGTGAGGCTGCTTGATTTAACTCTCTGATAAAAGATTGTGATACAATCTTTACTGATCTTTGGCCCACACCACTTTCATCAAGAATATGTGCATATCGAGGGACAATTTTTACACTTTTACATCCATCATTCAAAGACTTCTTCACTTTGTTCTTTGACACAGGTTCAATTTTATAACAAAATGATGGTTTCAAAAGCCTGGCATACAAACTTTTAGGATTCAATAACTGATCAATTTTGCTTTCAGAATATGTTACCAGACTAGTTTTATTTATCATATTATGGTGATAGTCATTTTCTATTTTGCTTTTCAAAGAAGCAGCAAGTCTCTTATTCTCACTTATTTTATGACTCTCTTCTACACAGTGTGCTTGGTCACAATGTTTTCTTTCATAAGCATGAAGCAAGATTTTAATTTTCTGATTTATACTTTGATTTCCATCATACAATTCTACACCAAGCTGGCCATCTGATTCTCTGGACAATATTACTGCCTTTAATGGTTTTCCTATGAAACTGTCTTCAAACCAGCTATTGATTTCTGCTGGAATATCCGTATCTCTAAGATCTGACAAAAAACACTTAATAGCTTGCATTGGTGTAAACAGTAACTCTGGAAACTGATCTGAAATGGCCCTCAACATGTTTTCTTCTACTAATTGCTTATTTCCAAAGTCTACAAAATAGACCAGAAAGTCAGATGATGAATCCGTTGGCATTGCTAAAGCTCTATATGACAGACCATCCTCCATGTACTTAGATATGCACAATCTCATTTTCTTAGAATATTTTGGACAAGTTTTGAGGTTAATAATCTCTGTGATTTTTTTTTCAATCATCTCTAGATCTTTATTATTTTTACCAAGCTGGCAATAAAACTTTTTGGGGCTATACATGTGAGAGATATATACTTCTTCTTCACTTCCAACTTTTATATTAAATGAAGAATAATAGTAACTATAAAGACTAACTGAAGATGGAAGTGGCTTTGATAATGTGCTATACTGAGCAGAGCCACAAGTAATAAGAAATTCTTTCGCACTAGTAAATGAGGATTGTAAATCCACCAAATTACATAAACAGTTAGGATGTATAAGAACTAAGGCACGGATAATACAAGTCAATAACCCTCTAGATGAACAGATAAATTTCCCGAAGTCTCTGGATGCTTCTCCTGTCCAATTGAGGAACTTACAACTAGTGGGTTCAACTAAATAGTTAAGACAACATCTGAAGGCTTGGCCTTCCAAAAAAAGAAAACGTGGGTTAATACCACAAATGTCTTTAATTAAAACTCTTTCTTGGTAACCATAGTCAACAAAGATTGTGTCAACTTCTTTTTTTGATACTTGAGTCAAAACAGCAGCTCTATACCACTTCCCATCTTTGGAATACTTAGCAACACAAGCAACCTGCCCAATCTGATAAGGATCAGAATGAACACTATAATAACTCTGAATTTGTTCCATTAGTAATTTTAGGTCATCTAACTTACATTGGAGCTGGCATGAAAAGTCACCTGGGCCATAGTAATAAGAACATTTAACTTCAAGAACTGTTCCTGGTTTAAACATATATTCTTTATAAGATAATGATGACTCAGTCCCCACAGAGGTGAAAGGATATTTTAAATCTAAGAAATTAACAGCTGGGGACTTTGACAAAGACAAGTTATTTTCCTCTACTTTATCTGAATGGTACTTTTTAGATTTAGGTCCTTCAAGAAGGGCAGATATGACTTTTTTAATATTAACTTTGTTTTTAGATTTTAAATTTAACACTGAATATTCACTCACAGATTTTGGAAAACATTCTGGTTCTACTTCCCAATATTCTGCATATCCAGCTTGTAACATAAGAGAGACAACATCGATATTTTCTGAGGCTTCAGTACTTTGAATATTTACAGTGTATTTGTCATCTTTTTTTCCTATAACTTGAAGCAAAATTGCTTTGTTCAAAACTATTTTTTTAAAATAATCAATAGCAGCCTTCACCCATAAATCTTCAACAGGAAATATATGTGCAAGTGAACAGCACACAGCTAAGGCAGGCAACTCACAAAATTCTGGAAGCAAAATTTTTACATCAAAATATGGTATGGAATCAGTATTTCCATAATCCAAAAAATAAACATTAATCTTATGACCATTCATTTCAGTGATGACAGCTCTGTAGAAACGTCTGTCCTTGCTGTATCTAGCACAACAAAATAATCCAGGTTCAGGTTTTCTTAGAATCATTTCATCATTTTCACACAAATCATAGAATTTGTTTATATTTTTCATTATATCTTGAAATTCATTCTGATGGTCATTAGTGCGTACCCAGAAATTTGACGGATTTAATACATATACTACAAAAGCTACGTAAGCAGCCTCTATCTCCATTTCTACAGTTTTAATAGGAAAACCTACTTTTAAAATGTTCTTATTTAGAGAGTCTACTGATTCTTCACTATTTTTAATAAAACTCTTAACTGCAAAGCTGTTTACATCAGAATCACCCATCTCACTCAAGATATTGGAGAGTTTTGAATCAGACACCGGACAAAGTACTTGTGTGCCTACAGTCTTCAGCAGACACTTGGAATTAATTGTAGACTCTTGAGTTTGTAATGTCACATAATATAAATGTTCATCCTTATTGAACCAATCAATGTGTGCATATACTATCTGTCCTAACAAGGCTTGTTTAAATACACCCAGCTGATATTTTCTTGCATCTTTATCTGGACTGTGCAAATATGTAAGAGAACATGGAAACGAAAATAATGGTACTAAGATAAAATCTTGTTTAAGTTTCTTTACATAAATTGAGGGTATAGCCTCACTACTGCCATAATCCATAAACCAAATTTTTACTTGATTATTGGGCAAGAGCTGCTGAAGAATTCCTCTATGCCACTGTCCATTTATCCTTTTGGCAACACAAAGCAGTCCAAAATTATCACATGTGGGACTAGTTTCTTGACTAATAGTATCATAATGCAAAGTCATACACATTGTCAAGTTTTCTAGCTCTGGAATCCATTTAATTAACTGACAATAAAATTTACTTGGGCTCAGTGCAGATGATACCTTTACACTTTCAGTACTTCCTACTGACAAAGATGGCTGCAAATTATCCAGAACATGTTGAATATCAAGTGAAGTATCATTATTACTTAACGACAATTCAGGTCTTTTATGTTGTAATAAATCTGGCATTTGTTGAGGGAATTCTTTTAACATTTCCACAATAAGACGAAATGAATCTCCATCAATAAGTCTTCCTAATTGTAATTCAAGAGCCTGGGATATAATTTTTGGCACTTCAAGAAGAATCAGTTGTAGGGGCAAAATAGCTTGCACATAACCTTTCACATGTATTCCTACTAATGATTTAAAGTAATTTAAAGCCTTAGGAGTCCATTTTTCCCCAATTGGTAGTATGTTGGCAAAAATACCAAATATTACCCGTGGTGGTAGTTCAAATAAATTGCTGTATGCTGAAGCAACCTGTGTACTATCAACCCTTAGTTCTTCTCCACGATCTATAAGAAGCACTGTATAAAGTTCATTTTTCTTTTCCACAACTCTTCCTCTCTGCCATTCTCCAGATACTTTTTCTTCAACCAAACAAAATTCATCAATGTCCACATTATTTTTCATTTTTGGAATATGTTGTATTTCCCTCTGCAATATGTGGTAGTCAAACTCACATTCATTATTATTTCTGCCTTGAAATTTCACCAGGACATCCTTGGGAAGACATTCAATATGTGATACTGTCAAATCCACATCTAAAAATGTCGGTAAGAGAGATGCAGAATCCATTTTCTAAAAAGGAAATAAGTACTAATTAGCTTCCACACAGACAGCTGTCAAAATTAAATGCAATTAGCCTTACATTAATTTGGTATGTAAACATACACCTAAAAATAATTCTATGCCTCTACTTTTATCAAATTCAACATGTTTTTTAAACATTATATACACTAAACATGATGTTTCTGAGATAAATAAAATCTAACTGGTCACTGCTTTCTATACTTTTAAAAATTTCCATTGAAATAACCAAGAAATAATGGGGTTCAAAATGGCTGACTAGATGCAGCTGGGGAATGTATATTCCTCCGAAAGGAACCAAAATATTGAGTAGATATCCACACTTCAATTAGATTGTTTGGAAAACAACACTGAAATATAAATATAGAGAGGTGACAGGAGACACTGTGGGTGAAGTAAGGGGAAGTTCATAGTGTTAAATGCCTGCATCAAAAAAGATAGAAAGATCACAAATTAGCCTGAGCTCGCACCTCAAGGAACTAGAAAAACAATAAACTAAACCCAAAACTAGAAGAAAAACACAAAGATCAGAGCAGAACTAAACAGAGACAAAAAAAAAAAACCAAAGGATTAATGAAAAGTTAAAAGAATAGTTAGCTAGATAAACGAAGCAGCAATAAAATTCTAATAAGCAGAAACAAAAGAGGAGGCATTACCACTGACACCACAGAAATACAAAAGATTGTCTGAGACTACTGTGAACACCTCTATACTCACAAACTAGAAAACCTAGAGGAAAGAGATAAATTCCTGGAAACATACAACCCTCCAAGTTTGAATCAAGAAGAAACAGAAATCCTGAACAAACGAATTATGAGCAGTAACGCTGAACAACAAAAATACTCCTCCCACCCCCCCCAAAAAAAAAGCCAAGGACCACATGAATTTACAGCCTAATTCTACCAGATGTACAAATCAGAACTGGTACCAATCCTACTGAAACTGTTTCAAAGGATCAAGGAGGAGGGAATCCTCCCTAACTTATTCTACAAAGCCAATATCACCTTCACACCAAAGCCAGGAAAGGAGACAACAAAAAATGAAAACTACAGACCAATATCCCTGATGAACATAGATGCAAAAATCCTCACGAAAATATTAGCAAACTGAATCCAAAAGCACATCAAAAAGATAATACACCACGATCAAATGAGTTTATTCCAGGGATGCAAGGATGGTTCAACATACACATTATCAATAAATGTGATTCACCACATAAACAGAATTAAAAGCAAAAACCATCAAAAACCATATGATCGTTTCATAGATGCAGAAGAAGTATCTGCATAATGATATTCATCATCCCTTCATAATAAAAATCTTCAACGAACTAGGCATAGAAAGAACATAACTGAAAATAATAAAATGTTAGAGGCAAGGACCCTCAAAGACCCTCAACTCCCCTATGACTTGTCCTACGCACGGACTTCGCCCTGGAAAATTCCAGCTATAGCTCCGAGAAGAATGCAGTCCATGACGTGCTGACCACGGAATGCTCCAGGATGTGTTGACTGCAAATGTTCCGGTTGGAGATGAGTAATTAGTCAAAAACAGGACACTGATTAGGGCTAATCAACCCAGACCCAAGCCTCATCGTCACCACTCTATTTTTTGTTTTGACTTCCTTGTTTTTGTATGCTTATAAAACCTACTAAAAATCTAAGTAAAGCAGACCTTGACAACCATTTGCTTGGTCTCGTTTCTCTCTCTCGCTCATCTCTTTCAGGCACGGTCCCCCTCGCCCCCGTGAGTAACAGAAGGTCCCGCGGGCCAGGACAATAAAAGCCATATATGACATACTCACAGCCAACTTTTCCCCATCACACTGAATGGGGAAAGTTGAAACTAAAAAGTTGAAAGCATTCCCCCTAAGAACTGGAACAAGACAAAGATGCCCACTTTCCCTACTCCTATTCAACATAGTACTAGACGTCCTAGCCAGAGCAATTAAGCAAGAGAAAGAAAAAGGGCATCCAATTGGAAAAGAGGAAGTCAAATTATCTCTGTTTGCTGATGATATGATCTTATACCTAGAAAACCTAAAGACTCTTCCAAAAGACTCATAGATTTGATGAATGAGTCTCCGGATACAAAAATCAATGTACAAAAAAACAGTAGCATTTCTATACACCAATAACTACCAAGCTGAGAACCAAATCAAGAACTCAATCCCATTTACAACATTGGCAAATAAAAAGAAAAGAAAATACCTAGGAGTGTACTTAACAAAGGAGAAAGATCTCTACAACTACAAAACAATGATGAAAGAAATTGTAGATGACACAAACAAATGGAAAAACCACCCAGGCTCATGTATTACAAAAATCAAAATATGTTAAAATGACCATACTGTCCAAATCAATCTACAGATTCAATGCAATTTCTATCAAAATACAAATGTCATTTTTCACAGAAGAAAAAGTCCTAAAATTCATATGAAACCAAAAAAGAATCCAAACAGCCAAAGCCATCCTAAGAAAAAAGAACAAATCTAGAAGTATATTACTGGACCTCAAATTATACTACAAGGCTACAGTAACCAAAACAGCATGGTACTAGTATAAAAATAGATACAGAAATCAGTGAAACAGAATAGAGAACCCAGAAACAAAGTTATATACCTACAACCAACTGATCTTCAACAAAAAAGACAAAAACAAACAAACAAAAAAAAAAGACACCCTATTCAATAAATGGTAGTGGGAAAATTGGATAGTCATATGCAGAAGAATGAAACTGGATCCCTATCTCTCACCATACACAAAAATTCACTCAAGATGGATTAAAGACTTAAATGTAAGACCTAAAATTACAAAATCTCTAGAAGAAAACCTAAGGAATACTCATCTGGACACTGACTTAGGTGAAGAATTTATGAACAAGACTCCAATAGCAAATACAACAAAAACAAAACTATACAAACAAGACTTTAAAATAAAAATCTTCTGTACAGCAAAAGAAATAATCAGAATAAACAGACAACCTACAGAATGGGAGAAAATATTTGCAAACTATGCATCTGGCAAAAGACTAATATCCAGAATCTATAAGGAACTCAAACAATTCAACAAGAAAAAATAAATTTAAAACCCCATTAAAAAGTGGACAAAGGACATGAACAGACATTTCTCAAAAGAAGACATACAAATGGCCAAGAAACACATGAAAAATGCTCAGCATCACTCATCATCAGAAAAATGCAAATTGAAACCATGAGATACCATCTTACTCCAGTCAGAATGGCCATTATTAAGAGTCAAAAAAACAAAAGATGTTGGCAAGAATATGGAGAAAAGGGAATGCTTATACACTGTTGGTAGGAATGTAAATTAAAACTACCATTTGATCCAGCAATCTCACTACTGGGTATCTACCCAAAGGAAAAGAAATCATTATATCAAAAAAATACCTGCACTCCTATGTTTACTGCAGAGCTCTTTACAGTAGCAAAGACATGGAATCAACCTTAAGTGTCCATTGACCAATGACTGGATAAAGAAAATGTGATATATCACATTTATACACATACATACACACACACACACACACACACACACACACACACACCCCAGGGAATACTACGTAGCCACTGAAAAGAATGAAATCACATCTTCTGTAACAACTTGGATAGAACTGGAGGCCATTATCTTAAGTAAAATAAATCAGACACAAGAAGACAAACACCACATGTTCTCATAAGTGGAAGCTAAGCAATGAGTTCACGTGGACATAGTGAGTGGAATAATAGACACTGGAGACTTGGGTGGGAATGTGGGGAGCCATGGATGTGGAATGAGCAATTATTTAATGGGTACTACATACACTAACTGGGTGATAGTCACACAAAAAGTATAAATGTTGAAAGAGATAAAATAACAGAAATCCTTTCTAGAATTTAAGACCCAGTCCACAAACTCAAACAGGACACTGGAAATCTAGCAAAAGGGATAAAATTTAGATACATCTAGGTCCTTCCTATGTTTTTGTGGGGTTTTTTGGTGTAATTAATTTGATGTGTTAATCAGTGTGGTCTGATCTATAGAGATTCTGGGCTATGCTTGTTGGATCCTGGAGTCTATAAAATTTTAATATCAATAGGCAATACAACAACTATAGAACCAACCCAATCCAGTTGAACTTTGTGTAACAAAATAGTGAGTTGTTTTTCAGTTGCCATAGACCCACAGGTTGCAAGTTACATGACCTGAGCATGCCCAGATGAACTGAACACACAACCACCGGCAGAACCTAAGTGCCCCAGATCAAGGAATTAAGAAGTGGACTGACATGACATGATTCAAGATCCAATAAGATCAAGCACTGACATCACCCCATGCATAATCCAGTCAGATTACACCTCCCAACATTATTACCTCATTGCAAAATCCAATCAGATTATGCTTCATTACCACCTATAAAAACTACCCCAGCACCCAGCTTGGGGAGACAGATTTGAATGTTGCCTCTTGTCTCTTTGCCAGTCAACTTGCAATAAATAAAAAGCTTTTCTTTTCTCAAACGCCAGTGCCAATGTACATCGGGAAGCAAGCCCATTGATGGCTCAGTAACAATACTAAAGACTTTCATTAGAATAAACCACAAGCCTTCAAGATCCAAAACGCCTTCATAAGTTTTTGTTAGTTAAAGTCACGAGAGTTGACCCAATTCTCATACTTTACTCAGTTTATAGCCATATAATTCCTTAAGTGAAGAGAAGACAGATACTCTTAAGAATGGATCCTACATATTGGATTATAACAAGAACTTTCTTTCTGGCGTTCCTCTAAAGGCTCACCATGTGACCATTTATGTGAGTAAATGGGAAAGGAAAATACATATATCTTTCAGAAAACATGCTAACCCCCCCATGCCTTTTTTTTATAGGTATAAAATGATGTACCCAGCAGTCCTCTTTCATTAACTGGAAGTGATATATACAATACGTATAAGCCAAAACAAAGCACAAAGGCACGAGATTATGAACAGATTACTCAAACTATCAGAAATCTACTTCTCCACACTACTATCCCTCCCTCAAACAATACAAATGACATCATGGGGGGTTCACATCAGAGAGGGTAAAAAAAAAAAATCTAAGCCTGGTTTATACATGATTCTCATTTAATGCCACTAACATCCAGAAATTGCTGAGATTGCAGATTGCTAAGGCATTACACCCCAACATAGGGGAGCCCCGACTGAGAAATGAAAGGAAATATTCATAGTAGATAGACCTACCATAACACTTACCTTGCCTAAAGAAGAAATATCTTGAGTTAATAATCCATACCTATTCATGTGTAATGGCTAATGTTTCTGGAAGACTATTAGAAATTCTGAAAGAGCAAGCAAGACTAGAGTATTTATTACAAAGAAGTCTGAAGAAGTAGTATGTGGATGAGCCTCTAAGATAAAAAGAAAATTTAGGTCCCCTGTAATACACACCAAAAGGCCCCATCAACAGAAACAATTCTTAATCAGGTAGACAGAATAACCTATTTTGGATGTCAATCAGCCTCCCTTACCTGCCTCTCCAATGTTTACTCAATAAGATCATGAAGAAAGCCACAGCATCATGGATTGTACATCTGAAGACCAGACTATGATAATTCATAGAAAATTCAGGAATATATAATACATGGAATTTAAAACCAATTATTTTATACAATGAACTATATTATTTTAAAGACATAAATTAGAGTGTTCTAAATTCAACCCTACTCAATATTGTATTCCTTAGAATATGACTATATCAGAGAAAATACTTACTCTGTGTACACAGGATTTAGATATCAGGACTCAAATTAACTGCAAAATTTAGGAAACTTCTTCCTTAGAATCAGATTCTAAATCTGTAAAATGAGAGGTTGAATTAAATTAAGGGTCTTTCAAGCCTTTTTTTTTGCAACAGAAATCCTTCTGAAGATAATATAAGATGCGAAAAGTAAACAGAAAATATGTGGATCCACTTGTGTTCTAATAATTTCATAAGTTTATAAAATTTAATTATAAAGTCAGAAAATGAAAACATTCATTCCAATAAACATGCCTTATTATTTGTTTCGTAGGACAGTACTGGGAAAATCAGGCTCATTTATATGTAACAATACACATGCCTCCACAATCATATGTGATCCAGCACAGATTCAAATAAAAATATAGGAGAACCACACTTTAAATAATCAAAGAGTTAATCTTATGGCACTAATCAGTGCTCACCTCTGCTTTTAAATTTAGTATACAATATTTGAATGTTCTTTTTAAAATATGGTTTTTTAAACTGTATTTGTTCAAATTAAATTCAAATCCAAAGTTAATAAACTACTAAATTAAGTTTAAATAAATTCACAGCACCACAGTCCCTCTAGGGAATCCGCAAACAGTATTAAAATTGATACAGAAAATCCTTCCTATACTAAAATTCTCCAATTCCATAGAATACATATTATGGATGAAATCATGCATTGAAGTTTGTCTTCTATGAATTAACATCTAATATGTCTAGAACAGTGAAGTCCATCAGAAATCTTAATATAATTCTGAGATCAAGGTTTCAGAACAGTTGGTTCTTTCTGAAAGCTCTGAGAGAGAATCTGGTCCATGCTTCTCTCCTAGCTTCTGGTGATGGTCAGCAATCCTTATTCATTTGCTTGCAGCTGTGTCACTCCAACCTCTGCCATCATATGATATTCTACCTGTGTGTCTGTGTTCTCATTTTCCTCTTCCTATAAGAACACCAATCAGGTTGGAATAGAGCTCATCCAAACCACCTCATCTTAAATTGACTACATCCACAGAGATCCTATTTCCAAATAAGATCACATTCACAGGTACCAGAGTTAGGACTTCAACATATCTTTTTAAGGGACACATTTCAATCCAAAACATTCTCCTAAAGAAACAAATGTACAAAGATGTTCCTTGCATTACTGTTTATAAAAGCAAGTACCTGGAAACTAACTGTCCCTAGGTAAAGTAATTTCATATAGTGATACCATAAAATAATGAAAATGAATAAACCAAAGTTATATGTGTAACTTCATATCTCAAAAATGTAACATGAATAAGAGTTGCAAAATTATACGTAACTGCACTGACATACCAATTAATTACATAAAAGTTGAAATAAAAATGTAAAAGCAAGCATGAAAATGGTACATATTCAGTTCAGAGAGCTAAAGCAAACATGGCTTTATGGATATGGTTTATGGTTATAACAATATGGATTATGGATATAACATATCCATAATGGATATAACATATCCATATTGTTATATCCATAAACAATATGTTATGGATATAACAATATCCATAAACACTGTGTGTTGCGTTCATGCATTTATGTTACATTATTTTGCGTACTTTTCTATGTATTTGTAAAAATTCAAAATTTCAAAAAAAGAAAACAGTTTTCTCATGGGTTATTTTGAATGGCAGTAATTTTCACCTTTTCATTTTTCTACGTCCCATTTTTCTATAGATGACTAAACATCTTTTCTGACAGTATTTAGAAAATAAACTGAAACAAAACTCTTTTCAAAAGTGCCATGAAGGTACAAGGAAATTCAAAAACATACTTTAAACACTTTAGGATCAAGTGGACAAACAAGACAGAAACCCAAAAGCTGTATAAGGAATGATGAATAGAATTTGAGACATATATATGTTAAAATTCCTGTATAGAAAAGACTATCACATGAATAAATGACAGATATTTTATAAAAGTTATAACATGTAAAACAGATTAAAAGTATCTGTAACATAAAAATATGCTGCACATCACTAATGTGGGGAAAACAAAAGTAATAATAATTCTTCTTTCACCCACTGGGTTTGTAAAAACCATAAATGAATGATTATGTTCAGAACAAGTGACCATCTGGAGAATGAATGTTCCCAGGTTCCAGGTAAGAGAATAAATCGTTACATTTTTGTCATGTAAATGTACAGTACCTATTAAATCTTAAAATCCTCACATATTTTGATATAGTAATCCCACTTTTGGTAATCTATCCTTATTAATATAAGGATGCATGCTAGAAGTTGTTTATTGCAGCACTGTTTATAAAAGAAAAATCAAAAAAAACATTGCTGAGAGAAATCAAAGATGACCTAAATGAACATTAAGGTATTAATTCTCCCCAAATTCCTCTATAGAACTGACACAGTCCCAATCAGAATTCTGGAATTTTTGTTGGTAGAAATTGAAATGTTGATTCTAAATTTTTTACGGAAATGCAAAGGAATAGAATATTTATCTAAATAAATAAAACTTCTGAAAAAGAACAAAGTTTGAGGAGTTAGTACTACCTGATTTTAAGACTAATTATAAAGCTACAGTACTCATGACACTGTGGTATTGGCATGGAAATATATAATTCACCAAATAGCTGAGAGAATCCAGAATAAGATCCACAGACATAAGATTAGTAAAAGATGAAATGGTTTTTAAACAAGGAGCCAAGCAATTCAACAAATGATGCCATACCAGTTGGACAGCAATATGTTCAAAAAAAAAAAAACATCTGACCTCATATCATCAAATTCTAAATGGACCATAAACCCTACATATAAGAGCTAAATATTTGAAATTTCTAGGGGAAAAAATAGGAGAAAATCTTAATTACCTGGATTTGGCAAAGATTTTTTAAACAGTACATAAAATATCTAAAGTAACAACAAGGGGAAATCAATACATCAGACCTCATCAAAATCAAAAATTTTTGCTCTTCACAGACACTTTTTAAAAAATTAAAAGGCAAGCAACAGTTGGCGAGAAAATATTTGCAAAACACAGCTAACCTACCACCTGTCTCTAAAAACATACAAAGTACTTGTACAATTCAATAAGAAAACCACCCAATTTAAAAATGGGCAAAAGACCTAGCAGTTACTTCATCAAAGAACATATACAGATGGAAAATTAGCACTTGAAAAAGATGCTCGACATCACTGTCACTAGAGAAACACAAATTAAATCACTATGATAACACTTCACACCCACTAGAATGGCTGAAATAAAAGGGTAACCATGCCAAGCACTTGTGAGGGTATGGAGTATCTGGAAATGTCATAGACTGCAGATGCAACCATAAAATGGTACAACTATTTTGGAAGATAGTTCAGTAGTTTCGTAAAAAATTAAATGTATTCCTTCCACATGGCGAGCCAATCCACCTCTAGGTATTTACCTAAGAGAAATGAAAGTATAACATATGTCCATCCAAAAACAAAGTTGCTGTGAGATGGTTCATAGCAACTTTATTTGTAAGAGCCAAAAACTGGAATCAACCCAAATGTTCTTCAACACAATAAACACTGGAACCATACATGGTTGTGTAAAAGAAAATGGATAGTATGTCTCTTTGGAACTTCTAAAAGTTATTAGGCCCTGAAGAAGGCTAACTTTGAAAACACTCGGTCAGGGAGCTTAACCACTTAATTACTGACCTTTGGTTATAGATTAAACTTCCTTCCTTATTTCCAGCTCAGACCAGATGACTCTGAGATAGAAGATCCCTTGACTACTACATCCTTTATGGGTAACACCAAATATAACTTTTAAGAAAAAGAAGAAACACTGCCTATAACTAATCAAATTGCTGTAACGATTCACTAGCCCTCTATGGAAAAATGATGCAATCTTCCCCAGACCTTGCATATGTAAGTGACCCTCTGCCCTCCCCACTTCAGAGCACCAACCCCTGCCTTTTAGAGTCTGGGTCCTCCTGCATGACCATCCTCAAACTATGCACTTGAATAAACTCAATATTTAATCATATTGCCTGAATCTTGTTATTAAGGTTGTCAGTGTTATAGCATAAAATGGAAACTCTTAATAAAAAGGAATGAAACACTGATACACATCACAGATGACTCTCAAAATAATTATGCTGAGTGAAAGCAAAGCAAGAATACAAATTGTATGATCCCATTTGTGTAAAATCCTAGAAAATGCAAACGAATCTATAGTGACGTAAAGATCAGTAACTGCTTGAGAGAAGGGGAATGTGGGATGAGGTGTGACGAAAGGAAACTTCGAGGGGGGGGGTGATGGATATGTTTATTATCTTTATTATAGTGGTTTCACAGGTGTATACATGTGTCATGTCATCAAATTGTACACTACAAATGTGTAGTTTGTCATACCTTTACTGTTTTCAGTAAAGTTGCAAAACACACACATACACAGATGCACATAACCTGAATGTTCTTTAATGGTGAAACAGAATAAATCATAGGGCATCTATTTTATTCTTTGTAATTACTAATAAAAAAATAAGTTAAATCTACTTTTATTGACTCTGATAATTAGGATCTGTTAAACAGGGGAGGAAGGTTGTCAAGATAATGCACACAGAATAGGAAAATGATATCTTACTTATATATGTGAACATGTGTTTGTATGGACATAGAGGAAGACGTGATGGGTGCAAACATAAATTAGGAGACACAATTGGAAAAACAGATAAAGATTGCCCTATTTTTCCTAACACGCTGCAAAGAGACTGGATTTCTTTTTAAATTCTAGAGGAAAACATTTCTTTTGAATTTGTCTTAAAGCGTTACAACAATTAAAGGACTCATGAAAAATAAATTTCTCCAAAATAGCAACTCCATACCTTGACTCTCTGTATGTCCTTTGAGCTCCATCAGGGGGAAAAACAACAATATTAGGACCAGTCATCCTTTACCGGATATACTGGGGGGTCCCCTCCCTGATGTCTGCATTTACCCGGGCAGGGCAGCTGCCCCTGGGCAGGCAGGCTAAGCTGCCCCACGGCGAGCCTGAGCCCCCAGCCATGGTTAAAGGCAGGAGGGAGGTGGAGGAGCAGATCCCATCATGGACCAC